CCCTATACTTAACAGGTTTGAATTAACATTATCCGATAAGTCATTAATGAAGACATTGAATAGAAGGGAACTCAAATTACACCCTTGTTTTACTCCACTACTAGATAAAAAGGAATCAGTGCAGCCTTGATTTGTTTTAATTGCATATCTGGTGTCTAAATACATAGTCTTAATCAAATGGAAACACTTTCATATCAATAATGATATATGACTTTTACATCTCCTGTCACCGAGAACAATTTTAAGATATGAATAAATAATCTCACCATGGACTAGGAAACATTTTGAGCATTTACCATGGTATTTCGGACTCTTGTATTTTTTTACTTTTCCATGTTCTGATAGTATGAACTCTTAATAATGAAAGCATAGTAAACAACATAGTATGCTTGACCATGGTCTCAACAAGTGACTTTTTTGTAGTTTGTGCTTCGACATTGGCCAGGAACTTTTTACACATTTGAAATCGTATGACATTTCTCTTAAAATCAATCCATAAAAGAGGCAAAAATTGTGAATAATAAAACATATTGTATCTCTCAACACTTTATTGTTTCTCTAAACTCATTAAAAAAAAGTTGACCTTGAAAAAATATGGCCACTGACCCTGACGTGATTCGAACACGCAACCTTCTGATCTGGAGTCAGACGCGCTACCGTTGCGCCACAGAGTCATTGCTGATGGCATATCCGTAATATAAGTATATGATAGATTTAATGTAATTTATTTCAATTTATAGATGTTGTAAATTTGTATTTTCAAAATATTTTTATTTAATATTCGTTCGTATTAGATATTTTGCTAAAGCTAACGAAAACAATACGTTAAAATAAAAGAGTTACCCTGGAGTTGAGTGAAAACGAACCATCGAACATCCGCCATTTTCTTTCACAACACGTTTGATTGTCGTTTTATGCTTTGAATATTCGTTTGGCAGGATGGAGACTATTTTGGAACAACAAAGGAGGCTTCATGAAGAACGAGAGAGATTGATGGATGGAATAGTGAAGGAAACTTTGCACAAGAGAGGCTCGGTAGGTGTTCAACAACGCGTCGAATCTGTGTCGGCTATCGCAGTTCGTTTTCATTGTGCCCGGTAATAATAGTTGTACAAGAGCATGTTACAAATCTTTAGAGCCGAAGATGATATTTCAGTAACAGTCATCTGTGCGTTCACGTCCGATTTTTGTACCATTCATCCATTGTACATAAATAGTATCAGCTCGATAATATATTATAAAGGGTAAGAGTTCCCTTTGCACCCTAACACTAACCCTACCCCCTACCCTCCCAAATGTAATTGTACGTGCCCCTCCTAATGACACTTATAGTTATCCAGAGGGGCAAATACAATTGAATTGAGAAGGGCTTGGGTATGGCTGCAAAAGGAACTTTTTCCAACTTTAGTACGAGTTAGCTTGGTTTGTCAAATTCCAGTCAAGTGGAGTTTCCAAGTGAAATTGGTACTGAGATTGAGTTAGCTGGGATTATCAGAAAATCTGGTAGATTGGGGTTAAGATTACAGTCTAGTTGACTTGCACAAATGGCAAGTGAACTTTTCTCACACAACTCATGTTGGAGTGTTGACATTGTCCCAAAGAAAATGAGCACTACAGTCACAGACCTAATTTCAAAGTAATATGTTGAATTTTTGACAGTTTAGGTTGTTATTATATTATGAGGTTATTACCATAGTATACGTGAATGCAGTAAGATGATCACATTGACAGATGCATTGCAGTTGATGCGTTCCTGCACTGCCTGAGTGCATACTTTTGCCTGTTTGTAGTAATTGTATATAATCAGACATAAAAGCCCAAAATAGCAACAAAGATCATTTCATTTTGTGTGAACGTTTGCTTTCGGTAGGGATATTTTATAACCATTGCGCACTGATAAGTGCTTTTGTGTCTGAAGTAAATAAAGGAAAGTGTTCGATTGTGACAAAATAATTGATAATGTGTTTTTTATTTGCTGACAGGCACGAGACCAAATTAATTCAGATCAAAGAGCAAGGATGCTCCTGGATGTAAGTGTAATCCTAACAATATCATTCATTGTAAACTTTTATTATCAACAACTAATTATTATGATCACCATGAGATATGATAAAATCAGTTGGTATGGCAACAAATCATGAAATATTGGAACACTGAAGCTATCCTGCACCAAAGGTTGTCACCAAACAAAAATAATTTTCACTCAAGGTCACTTTTTCCATATTATAAAATATATATCAAAATTTGATTTCAGGATTCTGTTGGATAACATTTTGTATGAACTATACAAAATCCAAAGTCCTTACAATATGGATTAGTGAGAGGTTTTCTGCAGATAATAAAAGTGAAAATGCAACTTTAGCGGGATGCAATTTAATTAAGTTTGTTATCCACAGTTATGAAATCAAATGGATCAAATTTCCCACTTTATAAGAAAAAAAATGATTCTGTAACTAATTCTGATGACATTCTGCTGTAAAATCAATGTCTTTGTTTTAAAAATTGAACCCATTGTTTATGGCTGTTAAAATACACCCTGGGCGTAAAACTGAGGATGCACTGAGGATAAGAAAGGAACCCTTGCCGATAAAAATAAATAGGCAAATAATAATTCTATTAAAGTATTGATAATTATTGTTCTGTTGCAGAGATCAATGGACTGTGCATCAATGCTACGAGATCTCTATGAAGACAGTGATGGGTAAGCCAAATATCATACAATGTAGAATTAGTTGTGTATTATACAAATAGAGCAAGCTCCTTCAGTCTTCTCAAGCATCATTGTGTACAAACATGGTGACTAATTTGAATATAGATGTTGACTAATTTGAATATGGACAAATGTTGACGGTGACTAATTTGAATATGTATGGAGAGACTGATTTGAATATGGACGGTGACTAATTTGAATATGGACAAATATGGATGATGACTAATTTGAATTGGA